TTTTTTTACCTTTCCAGTGAGAAAAATCAAAGAATCACGGCAGATCTAAACTAAAAATCAAAGAATCATGGAGAAATTATACCTGTAATTGCCGAAATCCAACAAATCAAGCAAAATCCGACGAAATCCCTCAAGGAAGGCAGTGAATCACAAATTAATATGGACATGCAGACAAATTATACCTGTAATTGCCGAAATCCAACAAATCAAGCAAAATCCGACGAAATCCCTCAAGGAAGGCAGTGAATCACAAATTAATATGGACATGCAGACTCAAAAAGTACACAAATTAATTGCAAATTAATTACTTAATGATAATAGAAGACTCGCATTTGCATGTCTTTGTGTCAACGAATGTTAACCAAATATACCGCCATAAACAGTTAACATACAATAAAGGCTGAAAAAAGATAGTATCTTTCCAGTTTAGGAAAAATAAACAAAACTATAATCAAACTTAAATAAATCTTTACTCATAAATAACAAACAAACTAAAATTTCAACATGAGACAGGTAGTATGCTAAAAAGATCAGACCTTGGTGACAAAACTCTGACGCTGCACGACCAACCTTCTGTCTTTCGAGATCTGCTGCATGAAAGATGAAAGATGATAAAAGTGACAGCATTAAAGAATGAAATTATCAATCTTTACAGGTTAAATCAACAAATCTTTAAAAAAAATTCTTTACCTAAAACAGTCAACGACGACATTTGAAGGCGGAGTCGACGACGAGATTCAAGGGAGGAGTCGACGACGAGATTCAAGGGCGAGGTCGATGACGAGGTTCGAAGGCGAGGTCGACGACGAGCTACGAAGAACGACGACCTTGAGGTGAGTTGTGAACGAAGGCGAGGTTCGAAGGCGGAGTCGGTTTTGAAGGAGGAGACGGAAACAAAGAGGAGAGAGGATTCGATCGCTCAGATCTGAAGGAGGCGGCAGCCATCACTCAGATCTGAAGGAGGCGGCAGCCCTAGCCCTAAAACCCCACCCTTTGATATTTATAGGTAGATAATGGGTATCATTTGTAAAACAAATTTTACATAATAAACATTTGGAATAATTCCAAGAAAAAACTAAGCCATGACCCCACAGTCTAATAGAGATTCATCATCTTAATTTCCAATGGAAAAAAAATTCATCTTAATTTCCAAAGGGAAAAATAAAAAATCCAAACAAGCCCTGCATTTTTTGTGCCGAGATATTTTAGTTTCTACGTCATGTTTTTTGATTAATGTTGGTAAACTAACCCAGCTACTAGATTCTAGCTATAACTAATCCGCACTGTTCTAATATCACATTTTTATAAAAATAAAGGGTGCTTATATTCTTATTAAATTGTTTATCGGGCTCACTCTTCATTAATCTAATCCTTTGTTTTTTTTTCCTATCGCATCAAAACTTAAGAACACGGTGGGATGGAATTAGGTGAAAGCGTTTGTTGTTATTTTCAACTACCAATGTGGAAATGAAAAGCCTTCAGTATTTTTTTCCTCTCTCTCTCTCTCTCTCTCTCTCTCTTCGACTACCGAATAAAATTGTTAATGAACTATCAAACATATATTTGGTTAAATTTCTATGAAAATTTTATCAAATTAATAAACGACAACAAATTAATCAAACATATCTTTGGTTAAATTTTATTTATTTATAAACCAGATACTAAAAAATATATTTTTTTATTAAATGAATTATCGCTTCGAACTTGATCATTAATAAACGAATAATAACCAAATATTAATTAATTTTTCAATTCACTTTTACACTAAAATGAATTTATAGCAGAATATTACAATTATTTAGAGCATAATACTTAATTTTGTTAACATAATCAATATTTGAGAATATAAATTGAGAATCACCGTTCATGCTACTCAATAGATCTCTCTTACACACAATCTAATTGTTGACATTGAGGAGATTGGGATAGTTTATGTGCACAAAGCTGTGAAGAGACTTAATAGGGGATATTTATAGAACTATAGATATATTGTTTTATTACGTCATTATGTGTGAGTTGTTGGGGTAGTATTGTTATATTTGCACCATACAATATTATTAGACATCTATTTTTCAAATGCAACTCATTTGTAGTTCTTCATAGTTGATAGCTGTAAAAATCGGTTCAAAATAAAAATAAAATTAAGATCAAACAACATTAACGAATTGTAGAAAAGAGGCGAGGGCCGTGCTTGGCACGGGGTACATACTAGTATATATATATGAGGAAACTGGGGGTGAGCTGCCAGCGTTCGAGTTCGGTGCGCTGCAGGGGGTTTTTTGAAAATAAACCCTATTTTTGAGCGCTCGTGACCCAGCTGTCATAGCTGTCTCTCCCCAAAAAGATCCCCCCTCTCGTTCCCCAGATCTCTCCCCAAATCCGCCCTCTCTCGTTCGATCTCGCTCTTGAGGTGAAAACCCTCCCCCCTTTCGATCTCTCTCCCCAGAAAACCCCGACCGCCGCCGCTCGTTTCATCTCGTGAGGCCAACCCCGACTCCCCCTTTCAATCTCTCTCTCGTGAGGCCAACCCCGACCTCGTTTCATCTCGTGAGGCCAACCCCGACTCCCCCTTTCAATCTCTCTCTCGTGAGGCCAACCCCGACCATCGCTCTCTACTCCAACAACCCCGACGCCGACCGTCACTCTCTCCGTCGACAACCCCGACGCCGACTGTCCCCAGATCCCGGTAAAATTTCAAAAATCCCTCTGCATCCTTCTCTCGATCCATAGTAATTAAGAAAATACATTACGCTATCAACAGAAGTTTTTTCTTTTGGTTTTGGTTTTGGTGGGGGGTGGGGGTGGGGGGAATCACCGTCCCAGATCTCGACATCCTCCTTCAGTTTCCGATACACAGGTGTAGCTGACCACACAAAGAAACAACCTAGGCGTAGGACCCTGTTTAGCTCTAAAAGCAGTGTGCCACCTATTTTCAGTCAAGAACAAGCTTGTTAGAACTAATTAGGAAAGTAGGAAACCATAGTAGCTAGAATTTGGAAGGGCAAAAACAAAAAATCTTATATACAGGGAACTAATAGCATCATACTAAATGTAATTTCTTGATTTTGTTTCCAATTGTGATTCTTCTGTAGTCTGTTATATGATTATTATTAAAAAATATTATCATGCTTTGCGAAATGGGAGAGGGTAAGAGTATTGAATAATAAAGGTTATGATAATTTTCAGTGTTTACTTTGCGAAATGGGAGAAGGTAAGAGTATTGAATACTAGTGAAGAGACTAATTTGTTTTCATGCTTATCTTTGTTAGCTAAGCTTACTGCCATTAAATTCTAACCACCACAGAAATACTAAGTTGGTTTTTCTTGAATTTATTTTCTTCTTTAGGAGTTCGGAATGGAGTCAACAAATTCAACTAGTGTAGAGTTCGGAATGGGAGAATCAAGTGTTATTGGAAGCAAAACTGCGGCCAATACTGTAAATGCTCCTAAACCACTTATAGGAATGAATTTATTTTCTTGTTTTGTCTTTACATCATCAATTACTTTTCTCATGTTATTAAACTACTTCAACTGTCTGACACAGTGTAAATTTTTCATGTTCCAAATCCTACAGCATATCTCACACAGTGTAAATATTCTGCTACATTGGTGGAAATCAAACAATCTTAGCACTTTAAAATTATATATGTAGATACATGTGCTACCTTTCCAATTCTGACTAACTCCCAATAATTTGTCATGTAATTTGCAGCTAAATATATGCACGGGTGCTGGATTATGAGGTTTGTTCACTGGGTACCCCAGTCCATGTACGTATGAAAAGATTTGTTCCCTTTTTGTTTTTTGTTTCCTTACATTTTTCTGTATCAATCTATAATTTTATCAATTCTAAATTTAATTAGCACAGGTTGTTGGAGCACAGGATGTTGGAGCATACTTTTGAAAAGTCAAGATCAAAATCTTGTACAGTTACTCTATTGCAGAGAGCAAGATATGGTTGGTTGTAACTTTGGTTATGGTTGGTTGTAACTTTGGTTGTAACTTTTTTTGTTTTGAAACATGAAAACGACTCTACTGAACTTTGGTTGTAACTTTTTGGTCAGTTGTACATGAACCAGAAAGAAGTAGTTGATACTCTCTTGCATCAGGCAAAAATTGAACTGGGATCTGTTTGTGAGACTGGAGTATTGTACGTGGTTTGTATTGTCATTAGGACATGATAACAAGATCAAGGCTCACCTTTTGTATTGCATACACGCTTGTACTTCATTAAAGTTTCTGTAGCTTTAGGCTTGGAATTAGGGACTCCTAATCTATAAATACCTTAGGATGATAATTTGTTGATGATGTATTGACTAGCTATAATCAGGAAGTATCTTTGTAGGCTTAATATTTCTTTTCAACAGTACCGCCCCCCAGTGTGGCATTTATGAACATTAAGATCACTGATTACATGTTCTAAATGTTTATAATCATGTAAGTTTTGGATTTAGTAACACCTAGATGTAGACCAAAAATAATTCATACTATAGCCTACCATTTTGTGGCTGCTTCAGGCACAGAAAAATCACTCTTTTGTTGGGCATTACATTGAACATTCTGTACGATCATATTATGGATGTTCCTCTTAAATTGCAAAAGATTAAAATTCAAAGAGCATAAGGCAGCATGTAAGGCAATGATGCAAACACACCACAAACTTACCACAAACCATATTAAGTGAAAGTCGGCAATAGAAATTGATGAAGCTGTTTGTTGATGGTCCAACCATAACAATCACAAATTTCCCAAGACCAACATGTTTCCATTTTCCATTATGCTGCCAGGCACTATAAACATCAGCTCTTTCAGAGTAAATGAACTGGCTAACACAGAGCAATCAAAATACTATATCAACTTGCGCATAATAACAATGAGCTATTTGTCAACATCTCAAAATCCATACTAAGCAAGAAGTTTATGACTAAAATCCATACCAAGTAAAGAAGCCTTTGATTGACTATTTTTATTGATTTTTTCTTAATTAAGAGGGATCGAGAGAGGGCTCAAGAGGGATTTTGAAATTTTACTTGACAGAGAAATCGGGGCTGGGGTTGGGGGAGGGGTGGAGGGTCTTGGAGGGAGGACTGGAGATCGTGGTCGGCGTTGGCGTCGGAGGAAGGCAGAGGGAACCGGATCTGGACCTGAGGGGTGGTCGGCATCGGCGGACGGAGGGTGGTCGACGTCGCGGTGATGAGACGAACGCGGAGGTCGGCGGTGGTTACTGAGACACGCGCGTCCGGCGGCGGTCGGGTGTGGGCCTCCGGGGAGATTGAAGGGGAGAGTCGGGTTGGCCTCACGTAGATGAAACGAGGCGCGGCGGTCGGTTTTCTGGGAAGAGAGAGGATGAAAGGGGGAGGTTTCACGCTCACAGAGCGAGATCGAACGAGAGAGGGGGATTGGGGAGAAGATCTGAGGAACGAAGAGGGTCTTCTTTGGGAGAGACAGCTCGTGACAGGGGTGTCACGAGGCTCAAAATGGGGTTTATTTTCAAAAACCCTGCACGCCATACCGAATCGAACCGCTGCAGCTCACGCATTCCAAGTTTCCTATATGATATATATATATATATATAATATATATATATATATATGTATATATTAATATATATAATTATATTATATTATATATATTATATTATGTATATATATTATATAATATATATTTATTATATATTAATAATAGTATTATATTGTTTTGTTTCATTATATATAAACATATATATAGCATATATTACAATCATATAAAGTATACTAATATATATCACATATATATATATGATTATATAGTATATATATATATATATAATATATATATATATATATAGATATACACATAACATTATATATATATATATATATATATATATATATATACATATATATAGTAGTAATTGCTATATATATATACATATATTATATATATATATATATATATATATATATATATATATATGACAAAAATGGGTATGCTTGGTACCAAGCATAAATTTTGTGTTTGGTAGTGATGTGTCATATTCCCATCTTCTCATTCCAATTCGCAACCACTCTTCATCCCATGTGAATGTGGGCCCTGAATTTAATAAGTAAAGAGGAATATGCCACCTCACTACCAAGCACAAAAACTTGTGCTTGGTACCAAAGGGCTTTAGTAATGTATACTACTTTAAAAATTATTTCTCAAGAGAATTATTTGGAGTCATCGTAAAAAGTTAACTTAGTATAAAACTATCTAAGAATTAAAAAACTTAAAATTTAGCTAAAATATTTTGAGTAGAACAATTATTAATTAACTTTATCAAGTTGGCAAGTGACAATTTTATTTTAGCTAAAAAAAGCAAAGAAAAGAACAAGAAATTGTAAATAAAGATAAAATATGATTAGTCCGTTTTTTACACTTTAGTTTGTGTGTGTGTATACACACACACACACACACACACACGTAGAGTTGAGCTAGGCTACTATTAATAATATCCAACAAACAGATACTATCACTCTAATTTTAATAATCAAAACCCAAAAATAAAAACCTGAACCAGTAGATATGATCTACGACACATGAACTAGTTAGAAATAAAATTTTAAATGATTTCAATATCTCTTGTATTATATATCAAGAGGCTAAAATTGACCAACTTTAAGAAAATTTTGCAATTTTAAGAAAATTTTGAAACGTTTATTTTAATAAAATACTTTGTTTGAATTTATGATGATAAAGTCCTTTGAAGTTTTATTTCTAACTAGTTCATGTGTAGTAGATCACATATGCATGCTCGGATTTTAATTTTTAGGTTTTTATTTTTAAATTTTACTTAATAGTATCTGCTTGTTGAATACTATTAATAGTAGCCTAGCTCAACTCTATATATTTATATTGAAAAGTATTTGGATCAAGGGAATTTCAAAAAATATTTTTATACCCCAAGCTACACATGCTAAAACTTTTTTGCTTCAATTAAAAGTTAAAGTCAAGACTTTAGTGAAGTATACTACTTTGAAGTCATTTCTTAAGAGATTTGTTTGGACTTATTATAAAAGGTTGACTCTGTTAGGTCTCATGTTTATGAGCCTACTATCTAATCTAGTTTTGATAATTAACAAATAATTCATAACAATGTTTGTCGAATATTTAATTGCTTGTTAGGCATTCTACACAAAGATCCTCCGTTAGAGGTTGGATGGACTTGCGCCTACACGATCATATCTATTGGAGGATGGAAGGAATATTTGAATAAAGCATGATAACATTCAAGTCAAGATTAACGATCATCGCTTCATCCACATCACCATGATTGAGATTTAATGAAGACCTTATTGCTTGGGTATAGTCTTTTTAGGTTTATGCTTTGTGTGTTTACACTTAGAGATCAAATTTCATACACATGCATTTATTTTGATTTGTCGTTTATTTTGATTTATTGTTGTTTTGGATTATAGACTTAAAAACATGATTTTTTATCTTTCCTTAAGTCTTTAAATCTATTTTAAAGTGTTTCAAAACTTGAATTGAAAGAAATTCGTCAAAATCAAGTTTTATCATGTTCGTATGGTTTACCGATTTGCAAAATAATGTGTTATGGATTAATGACTTAATATAACTATTGTATATCTTTCATAAAGTCTATTAATCCATTCAAAAGAAGTTTCAAACTTGTTTGATATCATTTTGTCAAAATCAAGTGTTTTGAGATTTTGTATTTTGACTGATTATGTAGAATGATGAGTTTTCACAAAGGGAAAATGATATTTGAAAATTTTCTTTTCTAACATGTTTATTTTTATGTTTATAATCATTCCCCACTATTTTACTATTTTTAGAGTTTACGTTTAATTTACAAAATTAGATTTTAAACTAAAAACCAATGTCTAGAAAATATATCAGTTCTGGTCGACCGGGTCTTACCCGTCGATCGACCGGCTAGAGGATCTATTTATAGACCCTATAGATAATCGCCTATCAGTCGACTGACACAATATGTTCGGTCGACTGATGGTGTAGGATCAGTTGATCGGTACAACATTGTTGGTCGACCGATCAAGCTTGCATTGTTTCAGTCTGCTAATGGTAACATTGTTGGTCGATCGACCAATATTATCCGATCGATCGAAAGTACTGTAACAGTCATATTTCCAAACTCTGGGTTTTTGGGGATTTTGTTGTGTTTGGTTGATTTTCTTGGGTTTAGGACTTTTGTTTGACAGCCTATATACACCCCTCAGTCCTCAACACTAAGAACTATCTAAGAGAAGTTTAAAACAAGTTTTGCAAGTTTTGTTTAAGAGTTTTAAAGAAAAATCAAGTGTTTTTTTTTGTGAAGAAACATGCACAAAGAGGAGGATTTCAAGTTTCATCTTGAGGGAGTTCAATCACAATTGTTCAACCCTCTTTGTTTAGAAAAGTTTTTTTAAACTCATTATCTAGCTTGTTTATATTTAATTGTTATATTTTTTACTTGCTAGATTAATTTGAGTTTGATTTTAATTATACTCATTGGTTACACACACACACCCTTGAGCTTATATATTTTCATATATAGTATATTATTGGGTTGTGGGGTTGTAACATTGAGAGTGAGCTTAATTTTAATCTCACATTGTATTAGAGAACAAACCCTTTGTATTTTTACTTAATTGTTGAGATTATATTGTAATACACAATGACACTTAGAGAAGTGGTTGGTGACAGACGGGGTCAATTTCAAGAGGAGTGACGTTGGTAGTAAATCTTAGGGAGATGTTATAATTCTAAGCACTTGAGGAAGTTGACACGGGCTAGGCCAACACTTGGAGAGTGTGCTATATGATTATAATTGTGTGAGTTGTAAACGTCTATCAGTGAGCGTTGAAAACCAATTGTGTAGCTTTTTGTGTTGATAGTGAAGATTCTCCTCTTGGGTGAGGAGTGGAGACGTAGGTCGTGGTTCGACTGAACTTCGTTAACATTTCATTGTGTTTGTGATTGCCTTAGCATATTTCTTTTGTGCTCGTTGTTCATCATATTACTATATCACTATTGTTGCATGTTTATATCACCTATTATTTTATTGTATATCCTTGCACATATCTCATTGTATATAACTTTGCTAGGATATTAGCTAATAAGTTTTAACTTTGCATTTATAGCGGATTAGATTTGCAATT